TGCGGAAACGGCAAGTTGACACATGCACATGGAAGACAACAGAAACTGAAACATTGGCCTTGGGCGCCGGCATACTTGATTGTACGTGCCACGAAGGCCCACATTAGAAGTGTAATTCTGGGCTTGACCTGTGCCGGATACGTCGATATGAAGCAACACCGGATCTCATGAGGGAAAGCAATCCCCCTGGGACCAGCTACCTAAAAGAATGAAAACCTGGGTTGCGCATTACATGATAATAAACTACAACTTAAGCCTCGAGTAATTGGAGCCCTGAGGAATGACCAAAATCCCAAGCCATGGCATGGGACTGCTACTGTACAGCTTTGCCGCATTTCGTCTGGACTCGATTGTGTCTGCACATTTTGCTCACCTGTCGATACCGCATGAACGAAACGACATTACCATGACATCCCAATTGCAAGGAAGCTCTGCAACAAAAGGTCCTGGGGGGCAGCCTGTGCTGCAGTAGTGGCTTTCTTCGAGAATGCCGGCAAGCCCAACAGCCGTCGGTATGTTTAGAAAGTGTATAAGGTGCCATCGCACCCAGAAACACGAACTGCTGCGAGATCTGACATCTTCCGGGAAAGTGCGCGCCCTGAAGCGGCTTTTGTCCCTGGAAGGAAGAGGCTGTACAAAAACTCCCTGTAAACTGGATGCAGGAAGGATGTTTCGGACCTGGGAAGGAGCTGTAAACGCTGCCTACGAAGTGCATGCATTCCCGTCTAAACGCCAAGCCCAAACAGTGGCAACGATCCAAAACCATGGGTCGTGCAAGGCAGGTTAAGGGATGTTGACGATCAGTCCTCTCCCGACCGACTCGGGTCAACAAATTGGAAGACCTCAACCACCTTAGAGGGAAAGAACACTTCGGCTTTGGGAGCCATGTGGTGGGTCTAAATCTTCTAAGCCGGATCAGGGTTCCTCCATGATTGCCACAAGCTTCAAGAACTAACGCCCTGCCACATCACTCCAAACTCGGGCGATTCACTCAAAAAAACCCTAAACCCTAAACCCCTAAACCCTAAACCCTTAATGCCGAGTTGAAGGCTTCGCCGCCCAAATCTTGCCATATCGCGAGCACGCTGGGAGTTGTCTCTTGTGTAGCTGAAAGATGGCTTGGGATTACTAACTAGTTACAACAACAACAACAACAAAAGAAAGGCAATATAGGGCCTTAATAATTAGAATAGGGTTTGGGGTTGATTATACTATAAAAAGACTAGCGGCCCAGAAAAATAGCATAGGTAATCATTATAAGGCTCCTATAGCAATCACGATGATAACGTAACAACACACTACCGACTCGGGAAGGTATACGAAGCCGTCATCATGGTGCTTGTCGGTTTTGAGTTGGGTTTAGGGTTTAGGGGCGCTGGCTGTTGCCGCTGTTGCTGCTGGCTTCTGGTGGCTACAGTTGATTATTGCGCAGCTGCAGCTGATCTTCTTGTCGCTGCTGAAGATGATGCCACAGGTGATTTTAATAAGAATACTGACGAATATTAAGACAAAGACATGCGCAAACAGCTAGTAGCACTCTGCAAAACGCAATGTACAAAAAACGCCAGATGTAGAACCCCCCCCTTCCTCACCAGGAAAGCCTGAGAATGACGTTCATAGACAAACGCTACAGAAACGACCTTTTGCCACCAGGATTGCGTTTGTGGCAACTTTTTGCGTTGCCTTCTTCCGAGAAGACTGCTCCAAAGGAGGCACTGTCGCGCTTGCATTGCGGTTTTCCTCGATAAACAAAAGCTCGGCCCGTTTATCTTCGGATTCCCTTGTTGTAGTTGTAGTTTTTGTGCTTGGCGTCTTGGTGCCATTCTTTCGCTGCCTTCCCCTACTCCTAGGTAGGTTAACAAAGTCTACGGAGTCCCTCCTGCCCGCCCCGCTTCCGACAAAAGACGCGACAACAAGGTAACAAAACAATGAAACACATCAGACACACTTAGACGAATCAAGGCAGCGTGGCATGTCCCAAAACACCAAAACCTGAGAAGCTGCGTCGTTTTTGCGTTTGCTCGTTAGGCTGCCCTTGTTTCCGCGATTTTTGCCGCCTTCTGGAAATTTGCTTGCTGTCAGGTTTCTAGGACTCGGTAGATTTACCAGACAAGCTCGGGCACGCACTACTTAATGAAGCTTAAGATGAACACGAAGATCAGTAGGAACAGCAGCAATGCCACTCCACATGACAGCCCATCTGGATATACGCACATGAATATGCTGCGTTGTGGTGTTGGTGCTGGTAGGCTGCACGCTTGATGTTGTTGAAGCTGCGGCTGTTGCTGCTGTCGCTGTTGACAACATGCTCTTAATCTGGTACCGCTCTTGGTGGTACCAGGAAAGAATGTCATTCACAATTTGGACAATGGTGGCTTTTGTAGTGTACGCCATGTTGCACTGCCGGCAGCCACGCCGATGTTTTCACGATCCGGTGATCTCCTACTGGACCTTTTAGGGTTTAGGGCTTAGGGGTTTAATGATTTAGGGGTTTAGGGTTTCGGGGTGTAGGGTATAAGGGCATCACCAGTTTGCGTCTGCTCCCGTAGATCCTGGGTCCGAACTAGGCACAGTTACAATGCCCCGCTAGTACTAGTTCGAGGCAAGTGCAACTGCTCACTGGGCGGCAGCTCTTTGGTGACATGGGTCCTTCGTACGGTGCACTGATGCTTAGAATGATCTGTGGCAAAAGTCTTCTCTACCCAGAGCAGGCGACATTAAGAGCTTAGTTCATTATGGCGCCGACCCGTAGGGCGCTGTGCTGACCGTAGCAGCCTGATCCTCACTCGTCACTCGTCTGCCTCCGGGATGATACGATGTCTGTGAAGGCATCTGGGCATTGCTCCACCCTGTTCTTGAATCTGTTCAAAACGTTGAGGTGCCTCACATGGTGAATCCTGTTCGGCGGACGGGGGATGCCACTGGGAAGGTCAAAGTTCCAAGTTGCAGAATCCCAGGACGATTCGACCATCAGCTCAGGCTTCTGTGCCGCCTGGCTCTGGTTCATCACCTTCGGCTGTCCCTGCTTCAGCTTCGCCTGCCCGGGGTCTTGTGGATGGATGGGGATCCCTGCTGCACACCCCATGGCTCGAAGAACGCCTTCACGGAAGACAATCCGGTCGGCGCTTTGCTGCTTCGAGCCGCAAACTTATGGCAAGACTACACGAGATTGTGCTGTGTTCGACTATATCAGACTGCGCTTTACCATACTATAGAACACTGTAGGATATTATACGGTGCTGGACTATACATATTGCTGAAATACACTATATAGTATAGACTGTATTATACTATCTACATATATATATACACACATGCATATATACATATTATATACTAGATGCTCTGTAATTATTAATTGTCTTGAATACTATACTATAACGCTTCCCCTGAACGGCACGTTAAGTCACATACATGCATGACCAGAAACACCCTGTTGACTGCCATCAACCATCAAATCGGAGTTCCGACGGATGAGAAACACACCAGAGCGCTGATATGACTTTTTTGCCAGAGCTAGGGCAGCTAGATTTGGACTTAAAGTTTGAGGTGTGTATATAGGTTGTGCAGCAAATTGTGCAGTTTATGTAAGGTTGAATGTCGGAGGTAGGGTCTGCAGTGCGATTAGGGCGTGAAGGCTTCAGGCACGCATCCATCAATGCTGACATGCAGTCATACATGCAAGAGCTATGCAACGCAAAGTGATATGCTCTGTGTCTTCCATATGCATGCAAAGATAGGGAGAGAGAGGGAGGGGCACAAAAAAATCAACATGCTACAGAAATCCAGTCCTGAGATGTTTCAGCCATCTCCACAGAAGCCCTATACCTGAACCCCGAACCGTGATTAACGAGACCTGCTTTTGCGGAGTTCCTCCTTATGACTTCCCGGGACAAGGTGAGGGGGAATGCCCACACTAGACTAAAACCCCTAGCAAAAATTCAAATTTTAGCTGCTTCTTAGGGACTATAGGAATCAACAATCCGAAACTAGCTCTAAGTCCTGAGTGTCCCTAAGATGCAAGCCTGCCCAGTAAGCCGTGTCCGGCTTAATGATAACAATCCGAGAGCCAGCGATCTCAACGCCCGCCTCCGCAGTGAGAGAGGGCTTCAGGGCTCAAGGGTTTAGAGGTTTCCGGCCTTAGGGTTTATATGTAAGAGTTTTGGATTCATGTATAGAGGTTTCGGGTTTAGGGTTTCCCATAGCTGTTGCAATGTAATCGTGGTGTGCCCGCGATATTGGCAACTGGCTTTTACGGGGTCGGATCCCGGCTTCAGGTCTAGGCGTAGGATGCCATATGGGTAGTTGTCAAAATTATGGTATATACCTTTTTGGGCACTATTAGGGGCCCAAAAAGGGACCATAATTTTGACAACCACCCATATGTTTCAGATATGTCCTCGTTGACGACATGAAACTCCTCCTTTCTTCGGGTGTGAAGTCAAAACCCTCTACCAAATGCTAAGCCCTGACATGCTACTTGCTATAGTCAGTTCCTACGCAATTTAGGGCAAGACATGCATGTGTATATACATCTGTATGTGCTATATAATTGCACACGGTTGAGCCTGCCTTCTTCGGGATCATAGTTTATAGGGATTACGGCTGGCGCAGAGATGCGCATAGCGTTCATAAGGGTGGGGTTGAGAGTTTACTGTTTCAGGGATTAGGGCTTAAGGTTCTTACAGGCTCAAAGTTCATTATCTGACACCCTGAGGCTCACGGCTTCGAATCAACCTCGGGTGCGAGCACCTGGAGACTCGAACTGCATGCGCAGTTTTGCGACGCACGCGAGCTGTTGGGGGTTTCAAGATCGCAACCTGAGCTCTTGAAGGGCATGTAGAACAGCAACCCTACAACTGAGCTAGAAGCTGTAAAGAACCAGATTCCAGTATCCTAGCTCGGTCTTGCTACATCTTGCCACTGTATCGCCCCTCCCACATGGGCCTGGTGGGCACACCACGCTTTGCCCAGCTCATGGTATGCTAAGTACAGGATTGCTACACACTACTGAAGTTTCCGGGCAAACTGGAGTCATGTCGTTGCTCCAGCTCCACTGTGTCTAAGAACCAACGCCATGTAACTGAAATGCGCTCACCACGGCTCAGAGGCGGGACGCCGTGCTTCCAGCTGTACCTCGCATCGTCCTGCTGCAGGAAGCAGCAGCCAACTTCTTCGTGGATCATGTAGCGCCGCATCGGTCTTCCACAAAAGTCCGTAGCGTGAAACTCGAGGACGCTGTCAGAACTGTTGAAAAGCACACACCCGAACACCACGTCTCTGTAAATGTGGGGCCGGTCAGTGTGCAAGGGGATGTAGTTCCCTGCTGAGTACAGCAAGCACCTCACGTTCAAGCGATGCTCGTCGACAGGCTTAGAGATGTCCAGCATGTTCATAACCCCGGAGACCATGTCACGCAGCTGCGGAAAGCCAGACAATGGCAATGCTGCCTTCGCCTTGGGGACAGATGTGTCCGACCATCCGGGTTCTGCGTCATAGGAGCCTTCATATGTCCAGCCAAACTCCACGGCCGTCCGGCGGTGTGGTGACCGCTCTTCTTTCTTCGGAATGTATGGCGACAGTTCTTGAAGCACGGATTCCACCAAGGTCTTCTCCACCTTGCCCAACTTAAGGCCATGAGGCAAACTGTGAGTCACCGGTAGCTCCTTGGCGAGCTTCCACTCCTCACGCCACTCCGACGGATACCATTCCTCAAACTCGCTCTCCTTGTATGCATAGCCATCTCTGGCGAGGCGCAGGTCGTAGTGCGGGACGGCACAGGCTGACATGTCGAAAGCCATGGCACGGCGAGGCCGCAGTGTACTGCGCTGCAAGGAGATGATGGGATCCGGAGGCCTTTTGTCTTAGACCGAAAAAACGATCAGATGTGCGGCAGATGCAGCAGATCATCATAAACTGTAGTTCGTTGTTCTTAGAAAGTTTTGACCGTTTGGGCATCTGACAACCCTGCAATCCTGGCAGAGCTCTGATTTCTAGCCTTCGCACCTCCTAAAGCCTACAGTGTCGTCCCCGAAGACCCACAAATCGTAAAGTCTGAGCAGGAACTAGACCAGTCTTAAACTGCTCGACCCCCCTTGCCCAATCTTGCTTGAGCTTGGTTTCTAAACCCTAAATAATCCGAAAGGCTGTGCCCCCAAGCCCCTACACTTATTCTCAGCCCGTTCCGTTGGCCCATCCCTTCCCCCAAATCTCCCGACGTTTCAAGGGGCCTCGGTACCCAGGCTGGTTGTCGAAATGACATTGGCGTAGCCTCGGGCATACAAAGTAGTGGCTACTATAGGGCTTTGATCATGGGAGGAATGTTGAAGTGATTGGGTGGGAAAACTACGGGCATACAATAGGGGAATGGCTATTCAGGCCCCTGTCTTAACCTAAAGCTCCAAGTTTACATGTACTCTGATCTGCTGAACCGGTCCGGCATCGGCGTGTTCTGGGCGTATTAAATCCTAAAAATTCAACAAGAAATATCAAGAAGAAGAGGGGTAGCAGCAATCGTACATCCGCGCTCTCCAACAGTAGCCAGTAATGACTACAACAAGTAAGTAGTCCTGACTTTTGGTTCCGAAAGCATCACCAGAAGTCGGAGCTAAACAGGTGCTCTGGATTTAGGGTTTTGGCCGAGTCTTGCCCAACTCCAAACCCTGCACGCAACGTAAACTCGGAGTTTAAGAAGCTAGCCAAGAAATATGAGAGCACGGCCAGCAGGCGACAAAGAAAGACAAGGCCCAAATGATCAGACTATAATTGTTATATCATATGGGCGGTTGTCAAAATTAGGGCTCCTTTTTGGGTACCCTAAATATTAGGTGCCGTATTATAATAAGGAGCCAAAAAGGGACTATAATTTTGACAACCACCAATATCCCGAGACCCCGACCACCCAAATTTCAGTTTGCGGCTCCGATTATGGAGCTGAAGGGCATAGAGCTTGGAAGTTTAAGGCTTACGGGGGCTCATGGGTCTGAGTTTGTAGGTCCGAATTGTGCGGATAGGAGTTGATAGGGAAGCCCTCCTTGCAGCACGAGCAACGGGAGAAGTTGTAGGTTCCGTCTGCCGAGGGCAGGCAGTTCTCTCCCGACCTCAATAAGTCTTTGACATGTTTCGGCGTGGGGATGAGGGCTGGGAGTTTGGGGCGAAATCCTGGCACTACAACCCGACTTCACCACTTCACCATGCTCACGGAATTATTCAACAGAGACCAGCACAGTGCTGAGCGGCCTAAGGGTGTTCGTTTTGTGAAGGCACTTGGGTATTCCAAAGTTTCGACCCGGGACTCGTAGCGATGAGCCACCCTGGGTGGGGTTCAGGAGTGTTGCAGTCCTGGAAGCTGTGCATTCATGCGGCTAGTGGCTAGTAGAACTGCAGAAGCTTAGCACGATTCCAGGGGGTCTCACTGTGCAGTGAAGAGTTGGGGACACCTGCTCGTCTACCTGCATTGTTTTAGAAGCCAGTTGCCCGCAAGCCATCCCATACTCCATCGATACTCTGTCGTCTGCAAAACAGAGCATCTTGAACCCACAAGCCTGCACGCCGCCGGTCCGAACAAGGCCAATTTTTTCAGAGTACTGCTAATCTCTACCAGGCCCAGGAGTGTAAAGGCTAGGTTTTGCAGCATAGAACTGAACACCCAAACAACAAGCCCTAAAGCCCCATGAACGGACAGCGAAGAAGTCCGAGGGGCTTGATAACGTCAATCTTACGGTACGAGTATCCTGGCTTGATGGCCTTCGACGGCAACGTTCCACGGCCCAGGGATTGGGGCTTGCAGACTTCGAGCTTTAGCTGCATCTTGGTCATTCCGGGAGTCTCAACTACATACCGGTCTGTAGACTGTAGGAGTGGACGATGATATGATAAGGAATCCTAGCTTGGAGCAGGCCTTTCCGTTGAATGCTTAGCATTGTGGAACAGTTTGCTGCAGGAAACTGTTGTAGGCTCATGGCTTATGCGATTTGGCTAAAGGCTTTATGGTTTCAACTTTGAGTTCTGTAGTGCAAAGTGGCGGGCTCAACCCGACTAAACAAATTCAAGGACCACAACCCGGTTGCCTTACAGCACCGGGGAAAGTCTTCATTCTGGATCCGCACCTTAAAGCTCGAGCAAACGCAAAAATCACGCTCTGACTGGTCCAACCAGTGAAACCCGGAACCTTGACGCAAAGGAACCAGCGTGCCACACCCTCGGGCTAGAGCATGTTTAAACACGGCGGAACAACCTTCCTCAGGACCAAAACACACATTGAAAACAAAACCACCATAAGCCAGGGCGTTGCAGAGCTCGTGTGACAAATCCTAAACCGAAAAAAACTTCGGCACGATGCATGGATGAGAGCTAGGTTTGTCGATGTGACAGTCAGCTTCTCAAAGGTCCATGGAGCAACGTACACTGCAAGTCAGAAGGGCCCTTCAGGAATATCACATGGTTCGTCCCAGACTCCATTACGAATTGAGGCGCGTCTTAACGGACTTTACCAGAACGTTCCGGTTGCACGTGGGGCTGGATGCATACCCGTAGACACTGCAAGTGCCCCTCCAGACAAGGAAGTTGCGTAGGGTTACGGTATAGCTAGTTCATTGTTGGGATAGGATTAAAAAATGTACATTGTTATTCCTTATTGGGTTCAAGAACCCATAAAAGTGTAAAATGTTACCCAACCATGGCAAAGGTAGGATTCAGAAACAATCGAAACCGAAAGCACAACTCCCCGATGCCACGAGAAAGGCACCTCACCTGTTTCAGCCCAATATGAGTGTTTCCGAAAACTAGGGGTAGCTTTAGTTTGGGGTCCTTATAATAGGGATCCTATTATTTAGGGTACTCTTTATTTAGGTCCCCTGTCTTCGAAAACTCCCATATCTTTCGGCGATAACCACCTGAAGTCACTCCTACACTCCAAATTCAAGCGGAAGCATCTGGGCGGAAAGCTGGTCTCCTTTTCGAGTAATTAACCCTGAGGGTTAATCATTTACGCCCCACACCCTCAAAAGCCTAAGAGCCGTACACTCGCTCCGAATCCCCAAAAGCCTAAGCGCTACACTCCGAAAGCCCCAACTTGTGGTGTCCTGGTCGAAAGCCACCATGATGCTCCCCGGGCTGCCATAGACGTCTGCATTGGGCAAGGTGAAGATGGTCCTGAGTGTTGTGCACTAGGTTGGTCCTTCACAAGTAAATAAGACCCTCGTAAGCCCAATCAGTTTTCTATGACATAAATCAACCGCTAAACCCTAAACATCCCTAAGCCCAATCAAGGAGGACATGTAGAGTGCTGGTCGTTCTTGAGGTTCTCAGTCGTCAACTGTCGTTGTTTGCCGCATATTCGAAATTGGGCTCCGGGTTATAAACTAACAATTCAAGACTTTAGGACACCTTTTTGTAGCGATTTAAGGTCCGGGGCTTAAAGTTAACGGTGTTATCCAAGGGGACGAGCCAATGCCAGTGTCAGGTCACACGCGACATTGCACTTCGCATATAAGCATTGCAGCAGCAAGATGGGGTCAAATGCAAGCTTTACGGTGAGGACACAGGGCTGCTTCCTACAGACCTGACATTATCTGTTTGGGACACGAAGATCCTAAACACCCATGTCTCTGTGTTGTTGGGGCATGAAGACTTGAAACAGGGCTTCGTACCAAGTCCCGGCGGTGGAGCCCTTGCTAATGCACACTGCACATGTCAATCCTACGGCTGATGATATAAATCCTGCATTACCCATAATAAGGAATATACCATTATTCCCATAAGTAATGCAGGATTTAGATCATCAACAGTAGTGAAACCATCAAGCAGGAACTCCAGACCGAACTTCTGAAGTCGGCTAACTGGGACGACGATGGGGCGCGGGCACAGTGAGGCAAGCGCATTAAGAAGCCCAAGTTACGGCTTTAGATTTACAAACTCAACAGACTCAGGTCTCGACCCTTAATCCTTAAACCGGTTCCGAAGTCAAGACGGCCAGGAAACACCGGCGGGGTCAGCGACAGAGTCGTGATCTCTGCCGACGTTTGCCAATCCTTAGAACTTGATCTAAAGCCTCCGTTCACCGTACAGGATCCTAAACATAGGAGTGGCTATACCAAGAAAAGAAATTATGGTGGAGACTGTAGGCAGGGCTTAGGATCCCCTTCCTGCGGGTACGACTTTCTGTCTATCGGGGGCCTCTGGGCTTTGGAAGGTTGCGCCCAGGTCACTGCAAGCCTGAAGAATGCATCTTTGCAAAAGTGCACCCTGCATTCCTCGAAGTCGAACCCCCTGCTGCATGTGACGGAAGACTTGCACTGCTGTAGTATATGCGAAAAGCTCGACAGTTTACCTAGCGATAGCAGCAGTGGTTGCAATGTCGTTACATTGTTTGAGCGTCAGTAGGTCTCCTTGTCTGCGTGTCTGTCTGCCAAACTCTTTCTTTGTCCATACGTCAATGTATGTGTCAACCGCTGTTCATGTGCGGGCTTGCATGTGCCCCTGTGTTAGGCGTACGAGGAACGGATTTGGCTGGTGTCCTGATGTAGCGACAGCAAACTCCAAGAAAAAGTTGGAGCATCGGATAGGGATTGTTTGTCAACGGGGTTTACATCTGGGTGCCTTCCAGGCACGAGGATGCTGATGCTGCAACTTGCTGCCGCCAGCTACTGTTGCTTTATGGCGCCACAAAGAACTGAAATGACAGACCGCTCCACAGCCCTACAACCTCGAAGTCGCACAGCGCAGTCCGGACAAGTTTCCCCATTGAGGTCCGAGTTTGTGCATTCCTGTCCAATGCACGTCTATAAGCAGAGCTGATCGA